CCTTTTAAATGTTTTCTTTTCTTTTAAAACACCATCAGAAGTCAAAACGATGTTATATTTGACTTTTGGTGCTAAATATAGACCAAATATAATTACACCGTCACCGTAATCGTTTTTACCTTTGCAATAGTCTTTATCGGAGACCAAACCAGCTCTGTACAAAATGTACAAACTATCGGTGTCGGTATAGCATATTTCGGGTTTATAACGTGAATGAAATTGTTCATTATTTTTTTACTGTGAGATAAAACGAATGATCCCAAATGACTAGGTGTTAGTAGTGTAGATTTACTATCTTCGGTAGTAATCTCTTTTTCTTCAATTTCTGTTTCAACAATATATTGAGTATCATTACTTTTCTCATAGGTTTTAATATGTGAATCAAAGTTAGCCTGTAAAGTTGCTTCATTCCATAAATGTCTAGTTGTGAATATATCTTTTTGAATTGATTTACCATACAAGGAATTACCTAATAATTTCATGCAATTATTACCCACGATATTACCTTCTCGTTTATATTTATTTCTTAGATCTCTCAAAATTAAAATATAATCTCTATAGGGTGGAGTTTTAAAATTTTCTTCGTATACTATACCATCTAATATTCTAATAATTCTTCCACTGGCTTTCACTATTTCTTGAATATCGACCGATGTTAAAACGTCGTGACAGAAACCATTTCTGAACCTGATTTTGTTACCAGTTTCCCTTTTACCTTCTTTATTCGTGAAAGTGATTTTATCTTTAGCTGGTATCGGTTGGAAGAACATGTTTTTGGGAAACCACACTGTTAAAATAGCTGTTCTAGGTCTGAATTTTTGTTTATTGAAGAGTTTTACAAATTCTTTTTCTTCTTCTGGTAGAAACGGTCTTCCACTTTCCGCTCTCAGATATTCACTGTCTAAATCCGACATTGCTGAAGCGTATAAACCGTTAGCATCAAATGCCATTAGTTTAGTACATTTTATTTTTTTAAGTCTCGAATGAACCTCCGCTTTGTCTTTTGTGCTTGCGCTGTATTCTTTGAATAAATCAATTATGTTATTACTTAGTTATTATTAGTTCTGTATATTCCTTTAATACATTACAAATTTCATCCATTTTGTTCGTTTCAAATGATTTTCTATTTACCGAAACTCTTCCTCCTTTAATAGATCGTCTGATAAAATTTCTTATAAAAGGATTAGTGTGTGAATAAACTTTTTCTATATTCTTTTTTTCGGTATGTTTCGGAACCATTCTAGTAGTTTCATACCATTCTTCTTCAACCATTTCTTTATCATAACGATATAAATAATACCAACCCTTTAAAGATAAAGATGGAGCCGTTAGATTATTTGATATATAGTTTACAACTTCTTTCATGACTTGGTTATATTTTATCAAACAAGCTCCAAGACATAGGATATCCCTTTTTGCATATGGTTCCCATTCGTCTCTCAATTCCTCCCAATTGTCGTGGGTTTATTTAGCAATATCTACGTCGACAATCTTTCTCAAATTCGCGGGAAGATTGGACGAATTTCCCCATGCAGCCAAACTAGATCTTTCATGTTGGTAGGAACGCGTGAAACTGATATTTTGTAAATAGTTTTTATCCCTCGTTATTTTTTTCTGTCTTTTCCATTTTTTCTGTAAATCTTTATCGGTGAAAGGATTAGACATAGGTAAAGACAAATACCGCTCTGCGTTATCAGTGGACACTTTGACAACTTTGACGTGTTTTTAAGCACGATCCAGTTGTCGAATCCACTGCCGTTGTGGGAAATTAATATTAATCTCTTTCTATCATATTGACCTTAATATTTCAACATTTGATCTATGCAGTTTAGATCCACAAATGTTTCAACAACGTTGTAGTTTGTCGTAAAATTCTTTTGGAATATCATCTGTTGGAGAAATGTCTGGAAGTTTTATTCTGTCCAACAATTTTCTTAGTTTTTCCAAATTGACCAAAGTGCAACAATACTGAATTGCTCTTCGCGTGTCTTTTTCTGAATACGTTTCGCAATCTCAAGCGAATAACGCATCATCACTCATACTTGAAAACACGTTTAGTTTGAGAGGTGAAACCTGTGTTACTGCGTTATCGTCTCTACACGTTTTCCACACCTGTTCGTAATTGTCTTCTATTTCTTGAATTCCCAAACTTTTTTGGATTCATCTAATCAGACAGAAATGCGACTTGTGTAAGTAAAAAAACCCAATCTAATTCATCGTGAACGTCTCTGGGATGTAAATGTCTGTTTTTGGGATTATAAATTTGAAACGAAGTGTTAAATGTCTTGTTGAATTCCTTCATTCTAGCACAAGTCATCACTCCTTTTCTATTTGCTTTTGAAAACCCGTTGATGTATTCTTGAAATTTACACGTTAAATCTTTGTTCAAAACACGATTGACGCATTTGATAAAACAGTGACCATCTGTAAGTGTGTAACGATTTTCACCTTCGTATTCATTTATCTTTTTAAGTAGATCAGTTCCTCCTCTACCAACTCTCGATCTATTTATTTCGATAAAATACCAATCGGAAGCATCGGATTTTAAATCCATATTTGAAAAGATGTTCTGAAAAGTTTTGGTATTGAAACCGAGGAGTGACATGTATTGTCTGTTATTCCCTTCCTCGACTATCTCTCCATCTATTTCAATTTGTCAATTGAATGTTTTAAATTTATCAGAGATAGCCTTGATAACATCGGAAAATAGGACGTTTTCTATCAATGTTTCATCGTCTGCAATTTTATTCATATTTTTTTAAGTATATATTATTGATTATTTCTTTATTTTGACCGCTGATATTTCTGTATGGAATTTGTCCAGAATTTCATTGAATTTTTCTAATTCTGCAACTGTTATCTTCTTGTCTTCTCTCAATCTTTCGAAAAAGATGTACAATTGATTAAGATACATATTCAAGATACCCGTTTTCTATTTATAATGAGCTTTCTTTGTGCTTGTGAAACCTAAAGTGATGAGGCCGCAAGAGGTCGTTTGAACGGCTGTTAATGCAGCCAATACGGTTGGGACGATGACCGGAAGCATTAATCCACCAGTCACAGCCGTTGCCACCGTTACTCCTTCCGTTAGAACTGTGCTCGCTGTTTTGAAAACAGAATCGATTCTACTCCATGTTTTCCTGCATGCATTGTACTGTCTTAACTTTATTTTCAACTCTTCTTGTTTGTCTATCATGTATTGTTGTCTGCTTTCGAGTTCCATTATTTAAGTCGTTAAATTAAGTGAATTTCCGATAAATAGAACCACGGAATATCATATAGAGCGGGCTTGTTTGGCCTAGCATTATTATATTTGCGGGTATTAAAAGTAAAAACATTTACGCGTACTAACGACATTTCTTTTTTCGTACGGTCCTCGTTAAGATGATAGGAATATTTTCTTTTTTCTTTTTCGATGTTTATCTTGGCTCTACAAATAAAACCACCACCATTAAGGATGGAGTCGAAATCTTTGGCAAACGTTAAATGTACTATAAACTCTCGTTCTTGTTGACTTTTATGAACATCGATCGAGGTGTATTTTTCACATAAAAGAAAATACAGTTTTACGTATTCAAAGACTGTTGTTCGTAAAAACTCGTGACTGCTCTATTCTATTGGTCCGGGTATGTGTGCGGGTTTTATAAGTGATTATAGAATTTTGACAATGTTGGTTGATGGTGGATTTTCCATCTCCAATATCATATCTAAATCTTTGATTCCAATGATATCCTTATCATTTTCTACTTCCATTTTAAAGGTGTCATTTTCATATAAATCATCCCTTTTATCAATCAAACGTATAGTCTCTTCCAAATTACCATGAAAAATGATAGATGTTTGACGGCATTACCGGTTTGTTTGAAGACTATTTTATTGACTTTAACCTTCATGGGAAAATCTATTTCAATCAGACATCTACCTCGAAAAGTAAACGCTTCCATTTCGCCGATATCGAATACGTTTTTAGGTTCTCCATCTACGCGAGAACCCACTTTTATTTCTGCTTTGAATCCGTATTTGTTTGATTTATAACTTTGGTCTTTTCCATCGAAGACAGTGTCACTTTCGAATGGAAGATTGAAATAATACGACTTGTCCGTGACAATAGCATCTAATTTGGTCAACTTTCTCTCTTGCCTCAAAAAATCGTCATGAATTCTAGATACCAAAGGATTGACTTGTTCTTTACTATAATTTTTCATATCATCTCGAAATTTATTTTCAAGAAAGTTTTTAATCACACCCACTTCTTTTTCTAATTCGTCCGTGATTTTAGTATCCAAAGCAGTCAATTGTCGTTTCAACGTATCTTTGTCAATGGGATGTGCGAGATTGTTAATTATATTTTGAACATCTGATTTTTGCTTCGCGATCTTTTCGTTCAAATTGGATATCGAATTTTGTAACTTGGTTTTGTCCGCGGTCTTGTCTAGTTCTGCTAGCAATTCGCCAAGTTTTCTTTCCAAAGCGGTTAGTTTTCGCTTCAATCTATCCTCGTTTACATTTGGGTTATCTATTAAACGTTGGACGTCTATTTTTACCTTCGTAATCTTATCGTCTAATTTAGATATTAAATTTTGCAACTGACTTGTTTTATCCACTTGAATAAGACGTTTCAAACTCGTTAACTCTTGTTGTATTTCCACATATTTTTTAATATTTCGTCTGAAGTATCTTTTCACGCTAGTTATTCGATTTTCAACATGGTCCTTATCTATTTGAATTGCGTTTATTTGATCCAGTAATTAATATTTCTTGTTCACGGCATCGTTATCGTTACCTGGAAACTTTAAATTAGTTATTTTGAAATTGTTCATATCGATATCCCCTTGTAAGGTTTCGCTTTGTTTATAAACGCCGTCATGGGATTTTTAGATTCCAAAGGCAAAGACCCTAATCCAAACTTGTTTGCCATTTTTATTGAGTTAAATTTATTATAATCTCTTCAAACTTTTCTCCCAAACTCAACCGATATAAAATCCAAAGCGACAGCTGTCCACACAGCTTTTGTACTGGCATTTGAATTTGAAACGTAGAATATTTAATTGGTTTGCTAGTCAATTTCGTTATCTCTTCTGTCGGTTCTAGACCGAAAGAATCAAAGAACTAAAAGTTATTCAAAGAATCTTTGTGTAAAGCAGAGTGATGAACTCCTTTTTGATCCGACGTATGAATGTTTGTGATGGCGTAAAATTTACCTTTCATGTATTTCAGTTCATCAATTTCATCTCGCATGCAATAATAAAACGGCGAGACGTTCCATTCCTTGGCCCATTTCACAAGTTGAAAGTTTGTGGTCGTGTCTTTTCCGTATTTATCGAGAAACGCATTCATTTTTAAAAGTCAGTTTTTTTTTGTATTAAAGTTAAATCCCGAGAAATATTTTGAGGTGTTATGTTTTTCGAAGTATGCGGTAAGTATTGTTGAAGACCCAATTGACGAAATATATACGTAGTTTGTGTTTGAAAAAACTTGTATAACATTCTGATAAAACACATTCAATAATATTTTGAAGATAAATTTACATTTAAATTTAAAAAAATTTAATTTAAGAAAGCGTAATTGCTTGTCGACATCTAAATTTCTTAATCTTTCATCTAAATCTTCATTTTCGAGATTCATTTTTAAAAGTCAGTTTTTTGAAGTTCATTTTGATAAAACCTTCCTAAGCTTTGTTCTTTGTCTTGATCATACGTGGGAGGTGATGTGCTATTTAATTTATCAACGATGAATATCTCGTTAGTCCAATACCCGACGTAACCTTTCTGAAACAATGATTTATATTTAAAAATACGAACTCGATCTCCAACTTTGAATTTGGGTTTAATATTCAAATTGCTAATCTCGTTTTCAAAGTTGTTCCGAGTGTTGACGGACTTTATGATATTCGGGTTATTAGAGGCTTGCGTTGGCGTCACACCTATAGACGAATGTATTTTGTTATTGTATTCGTCGACAACTGGTAATATTTTAAGCCATTTTTGAGATTTCAATTCCGTGAACTTCTTGAATAATTTGCTTTTAAGAGTCCTGTTGAATCTTTCTATCACTACGGCTTTACCATCGTTATGCGTACTGTAAATTTCAAACCCCAGAGATTTCACATTTCTGTTGTAGAATTCGCTTCCTTTATCAACCCACAACTTTAGGGGTCGTCTGTCGGATTGTTTCATTATGGTTTCGAATGCTTGTTTAACAGTCAGACCCGATTTGTTTTTCAAGGGAAAGACCCAAGCGTATCTCGTGTATATGTCGATCACCGTCAAACAATACTTGTACCCTCTCTCGACTGGCATGTTGATTAAATCGGCTGACCAAATTTCATCTTTATCAAAAACTTTGACTTTGAGGTAATGTTTGTTTTTTCGAAATTCTTTGTGAATCTCGTCTGCTATGCCCATACCAAATTTCAATTTTGCCTTGAAGAGTTTTATGATAAGAGCCCTTTGTAATTTCTCTTTGAAAGTGGGATTGGGAATATTTTCAAGTTCGTGTATCATTTGTTTGTCTGCTTGGTGTCTGAATGTTATGTCTTTGTTTCTCCGGGATGTTTTGCCCATGGGAATCCAGGAAGAGAACCTAATGACTTTTGAATGTCTCCCGCACCGAAATAAATTTTAGGGCTTTGTGCAATTATCATAGACATATTTGTTCAATAATGAAATAAACACCATATATTTTTAATACGAAAGATTTAATACAGGAGAAAACTATTCAAGCGATAGAAATGAATCACTTTATGAATTTTTTTTTAAAGATAAATATTTGGAAAGGATTATTGTAAATGTTTCGAGAAAAAAATAGAGAATAATAAAAACTGTCTACAACCTGGATGATAAAGAAAACAAGGAAGCCATTTTGATATGTATAAAAGGCGTTTTAATGTATTTAATGCTCTGTATTTTTCATTAATTATTCCATCTAATGAAGGGATAATAGGAATCTGATTGAGTTATTTTAACAGTTCAAGATGTCGGACAAAGGAATCTATCTTCAATAACAGAGTAGCCCTTCTGTTTATTCTACTACCACTACAGAATCATTTATCATAATATGAAATTAAAGGTATTGACAACAGTTATCATTCTGTTTATTCTACAGAATGTTTGATTACTTTTCGATACTATGATAAAATTGATATACACCATCAAATAACGCGACAGTCAACCAATGACGGGTAAGATTCTCCAGAAGGGGGGACAACCTAAGACAGGTGCTGTCGGGCTTGAATTGGGTGGAGTTGATATACAACGTCATCAAGTAACGCGACAGTTAACCAATGACGGGTAAGATTCTCCAGAAGGGAGGACAACCTAAGACAGGTGCTGTCGGGCTTGATTGTAGAATTACTACCAAAAGGGCATTAAATTCAATACCTAATTGGAGGTGATCACAAGTAAGAAAAATATGTTTTTTTTGTTGACTTTATAGGTTTAATATGGACTCTCAGTCAATCATCTCATAAACATTAAATTTGGAGAGAGATTTCCAATGTTTGATCATTTAAAACTGTTGAATTTCTTTATCTGTAGAGATAAAAATTCATGCACCCTTTGTTAATTCTCTGAGACTTTGGAATATGCTTTTCGCTCTGAGAATTAACCTTTAAGGGGAATACATGAAATTGAAGGTGTTGAATATCCCTTCTGTTTATTCTACAAGACTTTCGAATACTTTTCAATTATCTATCCAATAATTTTAAAACCATTGCCTTTTTTTATTTCGCATTTCTCTTATATGTTGTAATTCTTTCAACTCCATCGCTTATATTTCCTCCTGAGGAAATGGGGGATTTATTGTTTGAGACAAAGTTGGCTACTTTGGGGATGAGAGATGATAGCGCAGAGAAGAAACCGTCTCCTTCGAATTTTTTTTTTTTCGTGTTTTAAAATTAAAGACATCTTTTTTTTTTAATGCGGTTATTTTATACTGTATTATTATAGTGATTCTTGTATGTGGTTTGGGTAATTTATATGGAGAATGCTGAGCCTGTTATAATACATTTTTAGCAGTTTGAGGAGTCTGTTATAATACATTTTTAGCAGTTTCGGGAGTCTGTTATAATACATTTTAGCAGTTGTGTCTTTTCGGATATGACGCATTGAAAAAGCTGCACATGCGCAGAAGTGAAATGCGTCATATCCGAAAAGACATATACTACTATTATGTATTTTTTAAGCTGTGATTTTGCACATTATAATTCTGTTCGAATTTTTCCGATACGTTAATCATTACTCACTCAAGTCTGCATTATATTAAAATCACCTATTTTCAATAAACCATCCCTGCTGACCTGGTCACATAATCTTTTTCACTCCTAAAAATCCTTATAAATTAATAGAAATTTTTTCCCACATTTTGTTCATGCAAAATAATTTATACATTTTTATCAAAGCTGTCAATTTTGCACATTATAATTCTGTTCGAGTTTTTCCGTTAAGTTGATAAGAACTCAATCATTAGTGTCCACATGAATATCATAATAACCTATTTTCAATAATGCATATTCCATTAAGTTTAAGGCCGACAACTAAAATATAGACATTGTTAGAAAACTTATGACAAGCATATTACAAGAACATCCAATTAAATGGTGAAAAGTCCAAGTTCGTGTGATATAATCCTCCAATGATACAAAAAATAACAAATTACCCATTTTCAGAGCCGTGTTTAATTTACCAAAATAACAAATATAGGTATCACTTAAAATTTAAGAGCATATATTTCTCTAAAAGATGAAGGTTGCCGAAGGTCGGGTTCAAAAGTTATAAAAAAAACTTTGACAATTTTAAGGCAAATCGAAAAAAAAATAAGCATTTTATGGCGGATTTCTCTACACCAATTCTGGTTGGAGTCTGCACCTATAATAAATAGGTAATTCCGCGATCTGAAATGTCTGGAAATAAACAGAATTAATAATTAATGACAACAATACAGCTTCTAGACATAAGATATGATTACATAAACAATAAGATATGAAATAAGATATGAATGTATATACAATTAGATTAACAGAAATAGGCTAAGATATAAATACTTAAAAATTATAATTCCAAAAATAAGATATAAATACGTAAACAATGTTATTTACACGAATGAAATATATATATAATATGTCTAAATATGAATAATAAAGAATATGAAAGAGAAAAACACATTTACATAATAATTTCATTGATACACTTCAAATATTGAACAATAATTTATGTGATATAAAAATCGATTCATACACTTTCTTCAAGAAGAAGCAGATTGAAAGATTAACTGGATTTGGATATTATATGTAGGCTATGTTAGTAATGCATCACATATTCATATTTAATTTCTTCCAGCATTATGTAGATCGTTCTCATAAACTCCAGGACGAGTATTTAAATCTTCATATGCTCTATCTGTAAAGAAAAAATACTTGCAGAATAACAGTCAGCTTAATAATAATAGTAGTTTTGATAATAACAATAATTATAAAACGACGACAACAACAACAACACCATGCATCACCTCTACATTCGTTTTGTTTATATTACTTGATCCCGTGACCCTTGATCATGTGATGCTCACACATCCTTTGTTGGCCGGTGAGAGATTGCTTTCGTTAAAAAATTGATGGAATCACATAGAAATAGACTGCTGATGGTATGACTTAACTACAGAAATAACCATCTTTCGGAATATGACGGGGTTTGATGGATTCGAGATAAACATATTTTAAACCCCCAGTTTTCTGACCCTGCTCTAGTCGACAACTGACAATATATATCTGTCGAAAGCTGAGGCAGGCAAATCTTTTGGAATAAAGTGTAAATTTTGGTTTTGTAATCTGCAAACAATACCTTCTGGATTTCTATTAGAAAAGGTTGCATAACTGAAATGTAAGACAGTGATTTGAATTATTTTTATCAGTTTTGACAACAAACCTCTCGAGACTGTATGATATAAGAACTTTTTTGAAGTAACTATTTCTGTCGTTTTTATGTCTATTTCTTACTTATTGGACTCAACCAAAAAGGAATACAATTGTTAGTGAATAAATAGACTTGACGATATTTACTGTGATAGCACCAAAACCTCTCGAAAAGAGGAATAACATTGATTCAGAATTATAAAGCCTGTACATAATTATTGTATATATATTTCATAGTAGATTATTAGAATACGAGTTTTAGACGACAAAGTTAAATATATCTTACCTTTCTTCTGGTAATTTCCTGTTGGCTGCAAAGTAAGATCATATGATATATTAATCGTAGTGATTACCAACAGACCGAAGAACAAAGATGATATGATATATTAATCGTAGTGATTACCAACAGACCGAAGAACAGCTATAACAG